CCATTTTTAGTTAAAATAGAAATACACTTGAGTAAATTATCTTAGTTTCCTCTACACCTCTTGATTTTCAAATGTTTTTAGACTTGAAGCCCGTATACTCTATCTCATCCTTCCCCTCTCTACCAAAAAAAGAAAGGTCACAGTTAATTTTGCAGGTACCCACACCATTCCTTTTCATCAGCATAGCAGATGCTAAAGCTTGGGAAGGGTGCCAGGGAAGAATTTGGGGAAAGACCAGGAGGTGAAGGAGCTCTCTTCATGTGGTCTGCAGTTAGTCACTGCCACCACCAAACAGCTATCCAGCACTCCAAAACTCTAGCTTACGTGGATCTTCATCCCGTATCCCCTTGCTCCATTTTCAGAAACAGGATTCTAACTTTCCTCAGCCTAGGTGAGATAACCGTGTCCTGTTCAGCTACCATCTGTTTGTGCATCTCCTGAATTTTTTATGGTCTCGTTTATACTTTCCCTGAATTCCCTTCTTATGCAGGCACACAATGTACTCACTAAAGTATGAGGTTGTTAAAGTGCTAGGGTTTTGTTTTTGTTGTTCTAGTAAATAAAATGTTCGGTACGAAGGTCCATGTCATTGCCTCTCAGAACACGAGCCGCTAGAGGAGAGTAAAGAGTTTAACTTGCTGTTTCAGGTGACCAGTCTACTGAATAAAAATGTTGAATGCACATGTCTTATTGTCATCATTATCTTTCAGAATCTGAGCTGTTTGAGGGCAGTCTCTTTAACTTCATTTGCAGAGCCTAATCACAGCACCAGAAAAGTATAGGTGCTTGTTCAGTCAGAGTCTGACTGTCTACGTGACCCCATTTGGGGTTTTCTTGGCAAATATACTAGAGTGGTTTGCCATTGCCTTCTCCAGCCCATTTTACAGATGTGGAAACTGAGGCAAACAGGGTTAAATGCCTTGTCTAAGGTCACACAATTAGTAAGTGTCTGAGGCCAAATTTGAACTCAGGAGGAGGAGTCTTCCTCTGGCCTGGCACTCTATCTATAGCCACTGTGCCACGCAGCTGTCTAAGAAATGCTACAGTTGGTAGTAAGGATTATAGTCACGTACATTTTTCTACAATGAATTCTTAGACCAAGAAGTTTTGGAAGAATCAATGTACTGTACAGGAAAGAGCAATGTATCTAGACTCATAGGACCTGTATCCAAAGCCTAGCTCTGCTATCCAAAGGCAGATCAAATCCCAGGGTTTCCTTATTTGTAAAATAAAAGAATTAGAATATACAAGATCTAAATCTAAGACTCTGTACTAATGGAAAAGGGTTACTGAAGTGACATTGAGTAGATCTACCCAAGTAGCTAGCAACTGTCCCTGATTAGGAATTTCATTTCATAAATACAAACCATGTAATTTTGTCTCTTAGTTCTTTGCTCTAAAGTCGGTTAACAATGCTTTCTTTGTTGGTTTTTTTTTCTCTCACAAAAGTAATATGACTTCAAAGATATTATTGCTTACTTGTTCTCATCTGAGTTTTAGTTTGTTCTGTCATTGAGAGAAGACACATAAAAATGTTGCACTGGACAAATAAAGGCTATAAAATTTATTTGTAAATTATTCATTGTAATAGTTCAAGTCCCTAAACCATCTTAAAATACAAATTGTAAACAATTCCTCTGTATTTAGTTCTATGTTGGAAAAATGTAATTCTCAGATAATCATGATGATGATTCACTTCACAGCAGAAAACTTTAAAGTAAAAGATATTTATTTCCAAGAAATATTACCAGCCCTTTCCAAAATCCCATGCTCCACCAGAATTCTAATACTGTACACACAGCAAAATCTGATCTCCCCCCAGCCATATTCTTTACATCTACATAGCATCACTTATGATGCACTGAGTCTAGGATTATATTTCTTTAAAAATTTTCACTTTTAATAATTTGTATTTTTTTAAAGTGCATTCTACAACAAAACTTAATACAGCAGGTTTAAATAACAATGTAAGAATGCTTAAGAAAAATGATTTTAAGTCACTAACCTAAGGATTTTTTAAACAGCTTGACCAAACAGGAGAGAAAAAAGATTCCTATCCCCAAACTGAAGTCTGACCTCTCTGAGTGTACTGCATACTGCCAAATAAGAAAGGAGACCATACAACCTCTAAGATCCCTGCCAGTTCTAACATTCAGGATTTTAACAATATTTGATTGCCTTTAATAAATTTGGTAAAAAATATCTGTCCACAAATGTTTACTGAATAAGGAGAACTTAGGGGGCAGCTAGATGGTGCAGTGGATAGAGCACCAGCCCTGGAGTCAGGAGGACCTGAGTTCAAATCTGGCCTCAGACTCTCGACACTTAACTAGCTTTGTGACCCTGGGCAAGTCACTTAACCCCACTGCCTAGCCAAAAAAAAAAAAGCTTGCTGAGGAATATTTCTTCAGAAGTAATGAAACCATTGAGCTAATAGAACTTATTGGTAAGGAAATGTATGGGATAATAGATTTAAGCCTGGAAGGCCAAACAGTTGAACCTCAGTTTTACAAATGAGAAAAATGGGCTCATAGATGTTAAATGATTTGCCCAAAGTCACGTAGCTTGAAAGTGGCTGAGGCAGAATTCAACTCAGGTCTTCCCTGACAAGAAATTCAGCACTCTATCCTTTACATCATGTTGAATGAAAAGTACAATATAACTTTTCCCCTAAGGCAGTGTCTGAGAACTTTTTTTTAATGTTTTGATAACTATTTCATTGTCGTTTTCTTTATAATCTTATACATTTTATTTTATGCATTTAAAAACATTCTGAGTAGGGGTCCACAAATAGCCCTTTCCAGACTACCAAAAAGGGCCACAACACATGAACTGGTTTTAAGAACACTGGCCTCAGGGGGACATTAATAACTGTTGTTGTTGTTCAATCGTTTTCAGTCTGACTCTTCATGACCCCATTTGGGGTTTTCTTGGCAAAGATACTGGAGTGGTTTGCCATTTCCTTCTTCAGTTCATTTTACAGATGAGGAAACTGAGGCAAACAGGGTTAAATGCCTTGCCAAGTATCACACATCTGAACTCAGGAAAAGGAGTCTTCCAGACTCCAGGCCCAGAACTCCCTCCACTGTGCCACCTAGTTGCCTTAGTAACAATGGGAGTGGGCTCAAGGGACTTCCTAAACTCAATTATTTTGAAATGTTATTCCAATAACAATACTGACCCACTTAGAACTTTTTCATCATAACCCCGAAAAGTAGTGCACGTGCTACTGATCTCATTTTACAAACGATAACCCTAACACACAGTTTAAGGAATTTGGGGGTGAGAAGGGTCCGGTTTGTAGACCCTCAGCCTGAAGCAGATTAGCAATATGTCAGTAATGTGGTCTCAGAGAGTTGCCAGTAGCAATGAAGAAAGATTAAATGATTTACCCAAGATCACATGGCTAGTTGGAGTCAAAAAGGATTTCAACCTGTATTTTCTTGACTCCAAGTCTAAAGCCATGACTATTGTGCAACCCTGCCTCAGGGAAGGGCTGTCATAACTTAAGTACTAATTTGCACTTTATTTGAAGTCCATTTAATTATCCTCCTTTTCTAATGTACATTGACAAATATCTATTCTGGACTGCCAGTGATTTTTTTCATACGCATTATCTGTTATTTTAATAAAGGATATGCCTCCAGATTTGTTCAACATTATATTACTTCTACAAGGAAAGCAAAGGAAATGAAAAGAGATTACAGCAGTATATAGACAGAGTCCCTGTTCCGCACTAAGTTGGAATAGCCAGGTAACGGTTGCTACCTTAGTTGCCCAGCAGCGAAGGGCAGAGCAGAGATAGGAAGGTTTCCCTAAACCTCTCCCAGGACCACAGTACCTACTCAAAAATCCTAGCTTCAGGTGAGGCTTGAACTCACAACCTCGGCATAGCCCCGCCCGCATTGTCTTTCAAGTACCGCGCGCTAACCGATTGCGCCACTGGAGCTTTGGCAAAACTTCCGGAATTCTCTAAATCTCGGTTTAGCCAGTTCAACAATAGCGCTAATAATTTGTTTGTTCTTTAACCTTATGACTAGAAAAAAAAGTACTTTGTGAATTTTAAAATGCTATGTAAATGCCACCTCTTATTTCAACACGATATAGGGAGGGGAAAACCTTTAATGAGAGGTAACCGTAATTTCAGGAAGGAGTTTGGATTCAAAACCATTTCTGCCATCGTTGTCCAAATCTTTGATGTAAAGGTGACGTGTTTTTTGTTGTTGTTGTTGTTCTCCCTCCCCCCACAAGGGTTTAATTTCTCAAAAATACTGCTTCGGTTCTCCACTCTGTACCCGGGTAAAAGGAGCAGAGGGTCCTGCGGCTACATGGTAGGGGTTTGATGCCGCTCTACCCGAAGCTGGGGTCCTCACCACCCCACCCCCAATCCCACAGGCACTGTCCCTTTGCATCAGCCGGGGTAACCACCAGGGTTACTAGTGGGGCTACCAGCTGCGGCAGCCTGGTACCAGCCCCTTCGGCCCGCCTGCCGGGTGCGGCATTGTTGCGGGAGATGTCCCGGACAAGCTCCGCCAGCTCGGGTGCCCGCTCTTTACCCTCTCCATCTCTAACCCCCAGCCGCCGCGGTCCCCTCCTCTCCGACGGAGTCAGGCACTCAGAACCCCAGAACGCGTCTGTCTGGGTCTTGGCTCCCGGTTCTCCGAGCGCAGCGGAGCGTGCGGAGCCCAGGGACAGAAGGACGCACCTGGGACCCCTACGCTGGGGCCCGGACCACTCCGAGACCTAGGCCCCAGGAACACCGTGGGGAGGGAGAGGCGTGAATTACGGAGAGAGGGACGGGGATGGGGGAGACCCAAAAAAAAAAGGCATGGGATTTGATTTCTCCTCAGAAGCAAGTTTTAAACTGCCAGAACAGAAAAATGGGAAAGTTTTCTTTACCATACCTTCACTTCTCCAATCTCCTCCAGTCCTGTCTCAGAGGGCATTTCTGCCCTGGGGGCACCTGTTCCTTGTACCCTCTATCCAACCCAAATACTTACCAGCTGTGCGCAGTGTGTTCCGGAGCTCCCACGGCTAGCTCTGGCTCTCCTGCCGTCAGTGGCCCTCGCGCCGCTCACTGAGCTCTCCAGCTCGTCCCCTTCGGCACAATCTGGAGGGATGCAGCTAGCAATCAGAGAAGAGGCTGGCGGGAGGGCGGTGGTGGCAAGAGAAGCAGGAGAGGCGGAGAGCTAGAGGGAGGGAAGATGGAGAAGGGGAGGAGGAAGAGAAGGAGGGAGGGAAGGAGCTGGACCACTCCCCCTCCCTCTTCTGCCCAGGCTTCCTTGGAGAACCAACCACTACCCTGGCCACACCAGGTGGAGGTCCAGATGGGAAGGAGAAGCTTGATCTAACTTTCAGGGAACAAGATTACAGCTTAAAACCTTAGAAACCATCTTTAATTACAGGTGGTCCTCGAAAGACCTGTCCCCGTTGTTTTTCTGAGTATTTCTATCTACGTGACTTGATTGCTTGAAGGTGTCCTTCCCCTTGACGCTGGCTTATGGGAGCTGAGAGAGACAGAGACAGATAAGAGAGACAGAATCAGGTCCCCTGAGTGTGTGTGTATATGTGTGTGTGTGTGTGTGTGTGTGTGTGTGTGTGTGTGTATTAGATGGATAATAGGTAGATATATACACATGTAGCAGTAGGGGAAAATAACATGCATCAAGATGCTTGGGGAAGCTCGGAGGAGTCAAAAGAGCTTTCAGTCTAACCTGCGTCTCTGGCAGATACTCACATTACAGGGAAGTCCTCTCATATATACTTGGAATCAAGGTGGTCTTGTTTATTTGCAAATTATATTTATTTAGCAGATAAGTTTGACTGTAAGTTTTGTACATTGGACAGAGATTTCAATATCATTTCGATCCTCTTGAGAAAAATGTCCCCCACCTACCCACCGTCTGTGTAGGCAAGGTCAGCCTGAACTGGGTTGTTAGAAGGGGGGAGGGGATTTGACTTTTGCTGTTCATAGAGGGAGTGTGTGACTGTCCATTCCTCCCTGACGTGCTAGATGTTCAAATGAAATATTTGTAGAGCATCTGGCATACTGCCTGGCACATAGCTTTGTTGTCTTTTAATCGTTTTTTAGTCATGTAGGCTCTTCCTCACACTTTTTGGGGTTTTCTTGACAAAGATATTGGAGTGGTTTGCCATTTCCTTCTCCAGCTCGTTTTATAGATGAGGAAAATGAGGCAAACGGGGTTAGGCGCCAGGGTCACACAGCTAGTAAGTGTCTGAGGCCAAATTTGAACTCAGAAGGAGTTTTCCTAACTCCAAGCTCAGTACTGTATCGACTGTGCAACCTAACTGCACATAATAGGCAGCTTAACAAATACTTGTTCCTTTGTTCCATAGAGATTCCAAGTAATTTCACTGAACAGACTGTGAAGGCTCAAGTTCCTTTTCAGCACAAACCTTTTTTGGGAGATAGCCTCTGGGAGTTCTAGACTTGAAATCTGAGGACCTTGAGCTTCATTCAGTTCCTGGTACAGACATTTATTATAAGCTGTGTGATTGTAAACAAGTCATTTAACTGTTCTGAGCCTCAGTTTTCTCATCTGTAAAATACTTGTGTTACCAACCTCATAGGGTTGAGAGAGAATCTCTTGGTAAACCATAAAATGCTAGAGAAACTAGGAATCCCTTAAGTATGTGCCCTTCCTCTCCCTACTCCTACTCCTATCCTCAGCCTTCACAGTATTATGAAATCTCAAAGCAAAAACGGACATCAGAGGTCATTTAATTCAAACCACATCTGACCAAGAAAATGCCAAGAACCCTTTGCTTTAAGACTTCCAGTGATGGGGGAACCCAATACCTCTCTAGGGATTCCATTCTACTTTGAGTTATATCTAATTGTTAGTTTTTCATCATATCAATTGTTAAAAAGTTTTTCTTTAGAAAAATCCACTGTTGGCATCCAAGGTTAGAGATTTTGTTAATATCAGTGCCAAGCACAAATGATGAAAGTAACAGATTTTTCTGTATTTCCAGGTATGCCACTAATTCAAGCCTTATGCTCCTGTGCAAATTTTATGGAAAATAGATTGCCATCTGTTGCTTTCTCCATGAGTTAGGGCTGGGCTGGAGAATGGTAGGGGGAGGGAGACTAAAGAAGTAGAGAGAATGAACAACCTTAAAGCTGATTTTTGTCTCTGTTAAATATCAAAGATCACACTCAAGGAAGACCCACTTGTCTTGCAGGATGCAGGCATGATGTGAAAATAGGAGTAGCTTGGTTGGACCCAAGGCTTCTCATCTATCCATCTGGCAATTCATGGGTACCTATTCCCAATCTGAGTTACCTTACTTGTAGAACTATTTTATTACAAAAAAGTAAACACCTTTTACATTTCAAACGTGTGAGTTAATTGTCTAGGAACAATGTAATAATAAACTAGGCTACCAAACACATGTGTGTGAAGTAGTCGGAAGAGCATGGGATTTGAAGTCTGAAACCTGGCTTGGGATCTGAGCTCTAACAATATGTGCCAGATCTGTGAGGTCTTGGACAAAGTATTTTAACTTTCTGTGACTCTGTTTGATCATAATCATGCTTGCCTTCTCTCTCTTACAAGAGTGTTATGAGGAAGGGCTTTGTAAACTATAATCTCTCTCTAAATGGGAGCTATCATTCCTTTTGAGGGTCAAAGTCGAAATGTGAAAGCTGAAAATGTTGCCAAGCAAGTACTTCTGGTAACAATAGCTGCTAAAGACTGTGCCTTTCACGAATTGTTCATTTTCCTAAAGCCTCAAAAAACATTGTGTTTTTTTTAAGAACGTGACTTCTCTCTCCAGCATTTCCTTGTGTGTTAATCGAAGTTAATTGAACTGATATTTATTATGGGCAAAGCACTGCTGGGTACTAGAGAGATGCATGAATTAAATAGTTTAAAATGGTAGATTCACTTCCTTCCTTAAGTGTGAGGGAGGGGCAGAAGAGTCTGAGAATTAATTTTTTTTTTAAGACTGGGTCTCCCTGTCTCTCCCAGGCTGGAAATGCATGGGTTACACCCAGGCTGATCCCACTTTGATCTGCCAGGAACCTTGACCAACTCTGATTCCAACTTTGGTCCCCACACTGCCCATTCTCCATATTAAAGCCAAACTTAGTGTGGACACCAATCAAGAGAGTAATAGATCCACAATGATACCAGGAAAGCAGGGGAAAGGGGAAGTAGCAGAATTGGTTAGTGTTTGAGCTGCAGATGGGGCTTTGGCCATCACAATTTATTTCCCCATCTCCACACCCTTCCCTAACCCATTTGATGAAATTACATGAAGAGACAGGGAACAGGCCAACGAATTCATGACCTAAAGAACATCTAGAGAAGGGTTTTCAGCCATTTATAAGGTAAAAAAGGAATTCTCTTTTATGGAGTTAGGAATATTTAGCTATTAGCTGGCAAAGGATAAGCCACACATCTCTTGACCTCTTAAAAAAAAACACTCCCTAAAAAGGGACAGTCTAGACAAGAAGCAGCTTCAAGGTGTGGACCCCTGGCAGCAGAGAAGAGAGTCATCTATGGATGACAAACCCAGATCTTGAGATGCATTTGTGTTTTCCTTTATGGACTCATGATGAAAAATGCCAACCACATCCAGAAAAGGAACTGATTGGAGTCTGAATACAGAACAAAGCATATTATTTTTCACTTTGTGTGTGTGTTTTTTTCTTTTGTTCTATGTTTTCTTTCACAACATAACTAGTATGGAAATATGTTTTGCATGATTGTACATGTATAACCTATATCAAATTGCTTACTGTCTCAGGGCAGGGAGAGGGAGAAAATCTAGAGCTCAGTTGAAAAAAATGATTGTTAAAAATTGTCTTTCCATGTAATTGGGAAAAATATTATTTAAAAAATGTAAGTGTTCTCCTTAGGCCTTAATCAAAGCACAGTGTCAGAGGTGAGAAGGAGAGAATTTCTTTCTCCTCCCCCTCTCCTCATCAATTATGCTGTCTTACAATGGAGTTACTCTCCCAGGAGGAGACAGTAAAGGAAGCAGAGAAAATCAGTGGAAATGGTTTGAAGGAGTGTTACCCGTGGAAGGAGGAGAGAGACAGACAGACAGAACCAATTATGAATTCAAATCATAATTTTATCCTTGGCAGCTGAGAGTCAAGGTGCAGAGAAGAGCCATCACAAAAAGATAAAGTTCATTAGGACTCTGCAGTACCAGTGGCAAGAGTTGCTTTGGCCACCACAGGTTCCCTAAGTGTGTCCCTCACTACTGGTGACTTCTAATGTGCTCATGTTTCTCACTGATATTGTATTTGTGAGAGATGTCCCATATTTATAGGGGGAATGCTTTTTTGTGCCTACTGTTTTTATTATGCCATCTTAGTAAGCATCCTTGCTTTGAGCAACTTGTGTCTAATAACCATTAAAAGTAAGCACACCAAGTAGGAGACCATGCACTGTAGTTTAGGAGTACACAGTACTTTAGAACTTAGGATAGATGTTTCACCCTGGTAACCTCTCTTATAAGCAATGAATACTGAGTTGGGGAAAAACTCCTAGAGGTATGTTACGATACTTGATCCTATCATCCCTTCAATCTACTGTCCTATATTTCTCTTCCCTTTCATAGCTAAACTATTAGAAAATCTGCCTAAATGGATTTCATCCATTTTCCAGTCTTTTGGTTACTTTTCTACTCTTTGTAATCTGACTTCCAACCTCATCTTTTAATTGAAGCATTTCTTTCCAAAGTTACCTATGAGTTCTTAATTGCAAAATTCCATGGACTTTTCTCATTCCTCCCTTATCTTTCTGTACTCCCCTGCAGCATTCAGTATGGTTGACCTGACCTTTGCCCTACACACTTAGGGAACACACCTTCTCTTCCATAATTTTAAAGATACTGGACTCTCATTGTTCTCTGACCCATCTGACTGCTTCTTCTCAGTCTGCAAAAGCAGGATCATTATATTTGTCCCACTGCCACCTCAGAAGTCTCTCCTAAGCCCTTTTCTCTTCTCTCTCTGTTCCTTCTGGCTTTTCTTCACAGCTCTCATGCATCTGACTATCACCTCTAAATAGAGACTCCAATCTCTATATAACCAGCCCCAATCTTTCCTCTGATCCCAAATGACCAACTGCCTGTTGGACGTCTTCAACTGGAGATCTGGGAAACACCTCCAACAGACTATGTCTGTGTTCACTGCCTCCATTTC